CAGTAGGAGGCAAATTTACAATATTTACTCTAATCCAAGATGACCCTGAACTAAAGTGACCCTCCAATAATTAGATTTTATACATGGACGTTACAAATTTGTTAAAACTTCCCATGCAGAGAATCTAATTATTGAGGGGTCATCTTAAATTCATTCCCTCTGCTGCTGCTGCAGGGAAAGCAGTTGCAGGAGGGCAGGTAGTGAGGGAGGGTGAAAGCAAGCAGGTTGAACCCTGCCCTTTGCCCCCCCACACACACACGCACACACTTTGACTCCTGCCACCCATCCCCCTTACCACTTGCCCCCACCTCTCTGTCTCTGCCCCCCCACCTAACCCTCCCCCCCCACACCTTGGGATCTCTGCCCAGTTCCCCCTCTCTGCTGCTTACCCTTACTCTGCTCCAACAGGCTCTGGCTCCACTTCAGCCTGGGGCAAAAAGCATACCCTCAGCCCTGCCAGGTAGAGAAGGAGCCAGACCTAGAGCTGGAGCTGCTGCCTGCCCCCCACCACCTTATTAAATGTGGGAGGAACCTTGTCTTGGGAGTGAAGTAAATACAGTATTGACTTCCTGCTGCAAGGCAGGGCACACAGCTATAACTGAGAGTCAAAACAGTTTTTAAAATATATAGAGTCCAGCTAACATGAGGCAACAGTCACTGAAACAATCCTCAACAAGAATACTGATGAGAGGTCTTGTTCCACTCAAAAATGATAATACAGCAGGAAATCAGGCAGCTATTGATGTACTTAACCTCTCAAATAAAAAATAGATGGCTAAATGAATTGGGGTGGGGAGAGAAGGGGAACACTATTTTGCCCAATGTATTCATTTACCCAGTAAGAAACTTATTACCAGATGAAAAGTAAAAGCCACATCTCACAGACCAGCTGAAGTTGTGCTCTAAAAATGGCAGCCTGGTGACAGATGTTAGCAGACTTGGCAATTATATTAAATTTGCTGAGCTTATGAGAAAAAGCAGTTCCTTTAACTTGCGCAACTGACAGCTTAAACTGGAATACAAAAAAGTTTCTTGCACCTCACCAGAACACATATTCCACACTGAGAACCTAGATGACAATTCTGCTACCGATAAAACTAGATGAAAATCCAACACACAAATGAGATGGCCTGACAACTAAAAGGAATGAAAATTTAGTTTTGCCAAGTAAGCAAAACAAACATGAACAAGGCTGTTAGACAAAGGTTATTTCTACATAAGCACCATTTTGTTGTTACTGATTCTGAGCAAATCCATGAATCCCAGCATCATCTTGTACAACTTTAGTGTTGCTTAATGTATTAGGTAGGCCTAATACAGACATGCCTTGAGTGCTTTTCCCAGTACATCATCCAATTAAGTGTTTCTCTGCTCCTAAAATGTCAACACTTAGTTACTTCTAGGACACTTAGGTAGTCCAACAAAAACTTATCCCCTATGAAAAAGCATCTTGATACAGGATTTTGGTAAAAAAATCTTATTAGAGTGCCTAATTTTCACCAGTAATGTTTAGACTGGTCAGTGCTTATTTTATGAGAGAAAGAATGATTCTTGGTTGGATCTGTGTATTATTTGTTTAAGTCCCCAACTCCCTTCTTCATCTTCCCAATAATTAAACCAAATCTGTAGGGCTCAAAGTGACTAGGGAGGCTGGCTCTGCAACAGATGGAGCAGAAACAAAAACAACAAGCATGTGGCTGCTGGACTTCTGCCATAGCCTAATCAAAAAAAAAAACAAACATGTACTCAGTTTATTTATGAGGAAACGTGTTTTATGATGGACAAGTGTTGTTCAGAAAACTTTTCATGAGGAACTGCTCAATCCTGGAAACCTATTTGTAAATGTTGTTTGGACAGGTTTTTGTCTTTTCCAGGAAAAGAAAAACTGATGAACATTTTAACTATAGTTTGCTTTCATGAAGTTTAGTGAAAACATGATCCCGACAATGAAGCCAGAGAAGCTAAACAGCTGCAGTGCCAATATAGCACTTGTTCTTTATCTCAAACAACAAGAGCAACCTTAACTGGTTTAAAGCATCATTGTCTTTTAACAATGGTGTGCTACTCCTCCTAGCACAGGGACATGTCATGTACAGAGATATGGCATTGTACTTTGTTTCACTTTCTTTGCAATTTGGAGGCCTAAATGTCATACAAAATGCATGTTGTGTTTCTATAAGCAGCAGTAACCTATCTAGTATTAGTGTCACTCCAACATTGGTACCACCTTTAAAAGAGCGAGCTATATCAATAATGAGTATACACAGTGGGCCCACTTCTCGTGTTTAGAGGCTGGGGCAGGCCTAGAGAAATGGCACTCAAGTCAGTAGAGTGTCAAGGGAGTCGGTTTTAGTCAGCTGCTCCAATTATAAAGCCTCACTTCAGTTCACGAGAGTACTCTGGTAGTGTTACATAAAACACAGGACCAGACATTAGAAGATTACTATCTATATACTACAAACTCATTAGGGGAGATCAGCATCAAATAGGAAGGGCCCTATTCCCCCCAGCAGCACCTGGGGTGACGAGGAACAATGGCCAGAAGCTGCTGGAGAATAGGTTCAGGTTAGAGATTAGGAGGCACTATTTCAGTGTTAGGGCGGCTAGGATCTGGAACCAGCTTCCTAGGGAAGTGGTCCTTGCTCCTACCTTGGGTAAATTCAAAAAGAAGCTGGACAAACACCTGTCTGGGGTCGTGTGATCCTAGTGTGTGCTCCTGCCGGGGGGGGTCAGACTAGATGATCTGTTCAAGTCCCTTCTGACCCCAAACTACTATGAAACTATATTATATAGATTTTTTCACTTGCATACAGACAATCCTCGACTTACAACGTTTCAAGTTACAACGTTTCGCACTTACAACATTTATAAATTGACACTGTTTCAAGTTTCTGACGTCAGTTTCGACTTTACAACACTTGATCTAAACAAGTCTGCTGCATCACCCATCTCCCTGGAGAACATCTGTCCAAACTTCCGTGGACGCTTTCTTTAAGAAAGCCGACAAGACTCCAGAAAAACTTGCAGCCAAGATTCCTGAGAAGACTCTAGCCAAGAACCCTTCAAAAAGTCCAGCAAAGTCTCCTCAAGGAAGTCCTTCCAAATCAATATGATAGATATTTACAATATAAATACATTAATGTATTACTCATCTATAATTGATTGAGTACAAAATTCTGGGTTATTTTTGGTGAAAATAGGGTATTGGGCCTTGGTTCAGGAACCAATCCCCCATTTATAACACTGTTTCCTATGGGAAAATTGGTTCCAAGTTACAACATTTCGACTTAAAACATGATTTTCAGGAACCAATTGAGTCATAAATCTGAGGATTGCCTGTACTCTCACACAATACAGACTGCCGTTGAGGTAGTGCTGCCTACCTAAAATTCAGTAAAAATTCACTATGCACTTTCTGCTGTTTTAACACTTTTAAAAAGTCACTGCTACATGAATGAAGGGAGAGGGTGAGGCACTGACAATGAAATTGGTTTTCAGTTGGCCCAGTCATTAATTCAGGCGAGTCATTCTAAGCACAAATCTCAGTTTCACAAAGCTCGTTCAATAAAAGAAATATTTACTATGCTATCGAGTCCTACATCCTTCCTCCAGCAGTGATTAATACCTTGTAGGACAGGAAAAACCTATTATGCCCCAGACAACTTTGCAGGGTTGTACATGGAGGGAAGCCATACCTTCCCAAAAAAGTACAGGAGGCATCAGGTTATACTCTGAAGCACAAGCAGTTAAGATACCCGTGTGATCGTAAAATCTGACCCGTACCTACAGTGGGATGTAGAGACTTTAAATAATTACAAATCAAAAAGGAATAAAGCAAGTTTACTGTTCCTACATTTTTTTAAATTACCATATTTAAAACCTAGTATTGTAGAATGTATTGTAAGGAATCAGACTTCCGTGGCACCATGCTAACTTTGGCTCACTGTCCATACTACCACACCTAAAGCTTGCAGCTACCCCTTATAACTAAAACTGATCATGAATTTTCCAATGAAACTGTTTTTCACTGAAAAGTGCTATTTTCATCAAAACCAAGGTGTTTCACATGAATATCTCTGTTTCAACACACATTCACACAAACAAAAGCAGAGATCTGTCAGAAACTTGCCTACTTCCCCAACACCTCATCTAATAGACTGGTTCCCTGTTCTACATCAGAGAACCTAGAAGCCCTAACAGGCTCAGTCAAAAACGGGGCTTTTGGAAATCCTTAGGTCCCCTCTTCACAATAAGGGGCATTTATACACATACCTTTTCACACTGCAACATGCCAGAGATCCGACGCATTGCAGCGGACTCAATTAATCAAGTCTGCTCCACACGCAAGCTGATGTACAGTGCTGTGTTGCATGCAGTTGTATAATTGGCAAAATGCACATCAGTGTGCAGAAAATGGCAGCAGTGTGCTTTGCAACTAAAAATTCTTAAATGTGCATTAGTTCAAAAGTGCGCCGCCACCATTTTCTTAGTGCTGACGCATTTCGCCATTTATACAAACCTATGTGTTGCAGCACTGGGAGCTTTTAAAAATGCCCGGCACTGCAATACAAGCATATGTACAAATGCCCAAGGAACCCAGAAACCCTAAAAGTTCTTAGACTTAGAATTTCTTGGTTCCACACACTGTGGAAAGGGAGTCCCTGACACCAGGAGCAGCCTGGAGAGTCCCTCTGGCTCCTGAGCAGCTGGTTACGTCATTTTGGAAAAGTCAAATGTGAAACAACTGATTTTCCAAAATCACAGTGTGTCAGTTCTTGTTTTATTGGAACATTTCAAAATTTATATTTTTGAAATATTGGAATTTCCCACAACAAAAGGAAATCCCAAGGCTTGAACAGTTCCAACTGTTAACCCTCTCTTGCTATAGGGGTAATGGCTTCTGAGCATGTTCTAAGTCTAAGATGGAGTCCCCAGGGTATATTTGAACCCTGTTCCCATTATAACAATACAGTACATTTAAAAAAAAAAAAAATATTTACTGTGACATAAGCATCAGGAGTTTCATGGCTTGAACTGCTACTTCATGGTCCTTGTCCAGAGTCATGGACACAATTCGATCCTAATGGGTGTAAAATGACAATAAAAAGATGTAACACTTTCTGTTCTGCATATATGTTTATTTTTGCTACAGACAACACATCTAACCCTAGTAGCCAAGAGACTTATTTCAATAGCTATTTCCTAGGAGACATAAAGCAACTTGATTACTAACAAGTTGTTCTCCAACCCTTGAAAAGAAACTGTATTTCAATATGTTACTGAATTAATCATGGATTAACAGTAATTGCATAAATTCTACAAGAAAGCAACTGCAGTTTTCAAATTAAAAATGACCATTGGCAAGATGTTACTAATTGTACTTCAATATGTTAAAGCAAGGTAAAGTCCAAAGTACCACTGTTACACAGAACCAATTTCTGTTATCAAAAGAAATTGGAACCCTATTGAAAGAGCAGGTCTTAGATCACGTGGCTTCTAGTCTATGGAATACCCCCAGCCATATTCCCACTTCATGAATTCTCCTTCTTGTAGCTGGCCATGCAGGAAATGTAGCACCTCGTAGGGATAGAAGAGCAAGCGACTCTCAGAGGATCTCTACCTCAGAGTTTGTGGGGAACACTAACATTTTTCACTGGCTGCAGCATAAGGCTGCAACACTAAGGCCCCATTGAGCCTTTACAAGACTCCTTCCCATAGCTGCACATTTAAGATAAATTGCTATTCACATACCTACAATTCTAAAGTTTGAGGGGTTTTTCAATGCAAATTCAAGTGCTGCCATTTTTTTCTTTTAAGGAGACTTCCCCAAGTCAAAACAAAACAGCATCTTGAACACAGGATATCTAGTGGATGTACTAGGAAAAGAAAATCAGTCCATGGCTCGTTGAGAGAAAGTCCTTTATTTAGCGTGCTAGGTGGAAACTACAGAAACTGCTATTCACTTATTTCACCTTTTGTCTTCCACCTGCCCATTCTTTAGGTGCCCACACAAAAGGGGAAGCTCTACAAACCCACCGTGCCCTGAAGAATTCTCAAGAGCCATGCAGAGGTGTAGCAAAACAATGTGAAGATCATTTTAGAAGCCAGAATTACTATTTACAGATTGACTACTTTGAGAGGGTGCCCTTTGAATATTGGAGGAGTCTAAAACAGCACATTTGCATACAACTTGTTAGTCTGCTACATTCATACAGCATCTTTCAAACAGAGGGATCCCCAAGCATCCTACACATTGGAATCACGTTATCAGTCTCTGAAATCCAGGCCCCTCTAAAGTAACACCCCTCAGCTGTTAGCCAGTGTGCAGCAATGCTACAAAGATGAAGTCTGGAAATAAACAGGACTGCTGTAAAGCTGTTTACAACATGAGCTGAAATTAGAAGGGCAGAATTTTACTTACCAGAGTTAAAACTGAGCCACCAGCATTAATACCCAGCTGCTTTCAAGAAGGCCCAAGAGATATTTTGGAACCCTAAACAGCCAAGGCTTGTCTTTTACACCTCAGCTGAAAAAGAGCATTGTTGGCAGAACAGCTTGTACTACTCCACCATGCGGTAGTACTGGGTCAGTGCTAACACAGAGGGAAAAGTAATGACTACCGAGCCATCAAGATCCCTTCCTGCAACATCCTGGGTCTTCCTACCCAAGTAATGACAAGGCCTCACCCCATTGGGCTAATAATAGCAGATGAAATCATAACCCAAGGCAATCTTAAAATGTAGAGTGCCTGAATAAACCTGTATGTGGCAACATGATCAGTGCAGGGTACTAGGATCATACTGGTCTCTACTAAGGTCACCCAACAGGCTAATTGTTTACAATCTAGTATTTGACTTGTTCAGACTGGAGACCCTTCTGCAAGGTTCACAGTCATGCTGAATCTGCAGCCATGCATTTGAATAGCAGTGGGAATGGATAGCAGTGGTAACAGAGGACCACTCAGCTGAATAGAGGGGAATAATCACTTCCCTTGCCCAGCTGGCAACACTCCTACCAATGCAGCCTAGTGTGCCATTAGCCTTCTTGGCAACAAGGGCACACTGTTGGCTCATATTCAGCTTATTGTCCACTGTAACCCCTAGGTCTTTTTCTACAAAGCTGCTGCCCAGCCAGTCAGCCCCCCAGCTGATACTGCTGCATGGGATTCTTCTGTTCTAAGTGAAACGCAAAGTCCTGCACTTAGAATGGAACAATCCTGTGCACCAGTACCAGCTGGGGGCTGACTGGTTGGGCAGCAGCTTTGTAGAAAATGACTTTGGGGTTACAGTGGACAATAAGCTGAATATGAGCCAACAGTGTGCCCTTGTTGCCAAGAAGGCTAATGGCACACTAGGCTGCATTGGCAGGAGAGCTGCCAGCAGGGCAAGGGAAGTGATTATTCCTCTCTATGCAGCACTTATGAGGCCACATCTGGAGTACTGTGCTCAGTTTTCAGCCCCCTACTTCAGAAAGGATGTAGACAAATTGGAGAGTCCAGCAAAGGGCAACAAAAATGGTGAGGGAGCTGGGGAACATGACTTATGAGGACAGGCTGAGGGAACTGGTCTTATTTGGTCTGCAGAAGAGAAGACTGAGGGGATTTAATAGCAGCCTTCAACTACCTGAAGGGGGGTTCGAAAGAGGATGGAGCTAGACTGTTCTCAGTGGTGGCAGATGACAGAACAAGGAGCAATGGTCTCAAGTTGCAGCAAAGGAAATTTAGATTAGATATTAGGAAAAAACTCTCTCACTAGGTTAGTAAAACATTGGAACAGTTTACCCAAAGAGGCTGTTGAATCACTATCCTTGAAGGTTTTTAAGACCCAGCTAGACAAAGCCTTTGCTGGGATGATCTAGTTGGGAATGGTCCTGTCTTGACTAGATGACCTCCTGAAGTCCCTTCCAACCCTAATTTTCTAATATTCTAACATATAAATCCATTTCTGAGGTGGGAAAAGGGAACAGGGAGTCTTTGGGATATCCAATATTGACCTCTTTGTGGCCAAGAGGATGAACATAGTTGTATGCAGGATCTGTCAATACCATGTTAAACATTAGACAGAGCAAAAGGGAAATGTTTTCATAAATGAAGAGAAGCATGTCATCAAATCCCCCACTAAAAGAGCCAAGCATGCCATCTCCACAACATGCTTAGCCCATGCAGGCCAACACAGTGAGGAGCCCAGTTTGCTCAAAATATCAAATGCCATGTGCCCAGTCAAAACAAATCTAAGAAACAGAAAATGGTCATCCATTTACCTTGAATCTGCTAGTAAAGAGATCCATTTTGGAAACAAGCTCTTTTCTGCTATAAATTCCCTGAAGTCCCAGAAGACACTTCAATCGCACTTCGGCTTGCTACAAAACAAAGAGGAATCTGCTAACAGTAACAAATCTTTGTTGCTGATGAGATTTACTTGTGACTGCCATGTACACTATTGGCCTAAAAGCCCTATGAGTGTCTACAATAGGCTGATTAAATATTTTATATTTCCTTACCAGATACATATCAATGTATAACTAACAAGATATAATGGGCCAGCAAGCTAAAAAGTGAAGCTTGTGTTAAACAACCTTACGTTCAAACAAACTCTCACTGAACTTATAATCAATTGTCCCAACCAAGAGGGGGGTATCTCAGAACTATGAGTCACATATGAAGGTTGGAAGGAGGTAAGGTCTGCTCTTGGCTTTTATGTCCTGTTTTTCTTGCAATGTCTTCATCAGATATAAATTAAACTACTGTGGGAACTTCAAGAGACGACTAAAACTCAAGGGACAACACTCAGGAGTAACATGCAAAGTAATAAATGTAAGTTACACAATGCCAACTCTAAATCAGCCTAAATCATCTCAGAGGGTCAATGATGCACTTGCATAAACTTTCACCAAGTCTCCCCATGACTACTTTACACTAGGGAAATCGCTGCATAATAGAGTTCTCAATGTAGGCAAGGTCTGTCATGTTTATCACATCAACCAGTAGTAGTTAGTCACGTTTAACCCCATGTTAGTTAATACACATTTAAGCATGATACAATTTTGCAGTGCAAGCAAATCTTCAGCCACTATTTTGTGTTTGGCCAATATATTTGGTTTATACAAAAAATTGTTTTATACACCACATTTACTCAAATATAAGACAACTTTGAAAATAACACCGCAATAATTAGATTCTATATGTGAAAAATGTATAAATTTGTTATAATTTTCCACGTATGGAATCTAATTATTGTCTTGAATTTGTTCCCCTCCCGCTGCTACAGCAGGGAAAATAAATCTAGGGGGTCAAGGTAGTCCCCTTGCCCTCCGCCACCCCCTCCAACTTCTGTCCTCTGCAGCCCCTTCCCCTTTTGCTCCAGACCCTGCTCTTTCTGAGCACATGGAACTGAAGGGAAAATTCGAAATCACTGACCTTGAAATAAACATAGCTGTAGCAATACGCATATAGTACCCATAGACTTAGTTCATCTAGAATAAATGCATTTGACTGTTTTCGGAAAGTGCTTTAAATTTTAGCACAGGTACTCCAGAAACAAACATTTAAGAAGCACTTTGGCACCTACTTATCCACCTTTTGTACGCTAAGATCACATGTAAACTACACATGATATTAATTTAAAGCCAAAAGGACCATGATTTACCATATAGTTTGTTGGGCTGGCCCCATCAGTCAACAGCATTTAAAGCCATGGTGACCCCACAGCTCAGCACCTGCTCAGCATGTGTGTGTACTCCAGATCCCCACCCCAACAAAGGATCCATGTGCTAATTAGCCCCCAGCTCATGGCTAGAACCAGGTAATGTCTTGAGTCCTGGGATTCTCCAAAAATGTATACGCAGATGAAATGCAGGGCAACCAGGTCTGGGTCCAGCTCCACCTTATGAAGGACGGAGCCAAACTAATCATATGGAACAAGCGGAGAGAAGGACCAACACAGGGATTATGGGTGAACTATTTAGGCCCCCATTTGGTGATGTTTACCAGACACTGAAGGCTGGTAAAGAAACAGGAATCATTGGAAATGGGAAAGAAAGGCACACGTCATCTATGGGAATGAAGAGGAAGTCTAAATGTATTCAATACAGTGGCTTACCATGACTTTAAAGAGTTAGCGCTGAGGGGGACTGAGTGCAATGGGCACTACCATATATCTTATTCAGATGGGCTGCACTACCTTATCCTTGTGGTAGGTTTCCATCAGCAACTCAGCCTTTTTTGCCTAAGATCAAATGTAGCATTTTTGGCACCAGGTTGAGGGTGCAAGGGCTGGCTCTGGCCCTCCTGGTGCCAGCCTGGTATTGTAGTAACTCCAGGCTCAGTGCTAGTTCCCTGCAAAGGAAACACCTGCGGTTGTTTTGTAAGGCCCACACAAAAAAAAAAAGTTTCCTATCAGCATCTCAGCTTTTTGGGAAGATCAAATGTAGCCTACTATGTAGCCCCCTGCTCGGGTCTTTCTGTATTTCCTTGTGCTTTGAACATTGTCATTTGAACCTTAATGTTTTCTAATAAATTAACTTTTTGGCAGCAAGGGAAGGGTTTTGGGGCTGGCTCTTGCGCTCCCAGTGCCAGTCTTGTATTACAGTACCTCCAGGCCTGATGCCAGTCCCTCCTGGGGGAACAACTGTCTGCTTTTTTTTTTGTTGCACTTTTTTTAAGGGTCACACACCAAAAAGGTTTCCATCAGCATCTTCTCAGCCTCTTGGGCTAAGATCAAGTGATCAGGTGAATGCCTGATCAATGCTTTAAGGGCAGAGATAGAGATTGACATAGTGTGTAAGCAGTGGAAGAAGGAAACCCAAAACTCAAAACAATGGCAGCGGTGGCAAGTAACCAGGAGGTGGAATGTAAGCAAAAAAGAAAGTTTAGAGACAGATGGAGATTGGACAAAGGTAGAGAAGCAGAGAAGAAAGAAGACGAAAAAGATGGGAGCAACAGCAGAAGTAGCAACAATGACAGAGGCATGGGGAGAGGAACAAGGCTGGAGGGAAGACCAGAGCAGAGGAGAATGGGAGAAAACAGGAGAAGGTATGTTGGATGAGAAGGAGAAAGTGGCAGGAGCACAATGGGATGCTGGCTCACCAGAAGCAGCACAACGGGAAGACACAGAAGATTCACCAAGAGATGTCAGGGAGGATCGGAGACTGCAAATAAAAGCAATATCAACTGGTGATGGAATGCAGACAGAATCAACAATGAACAGATATGAGTTCACAGAAAAGATGCTGTTTGAGATATTGGAGGTATAGGCAAAACACCAGCCTGATTGCTTTCCAAAACAGAAAGACTTGGGAGCTTAGTGGAAACATGCAGAGGAACATGGGAGGGAGGAATTAAGAGGGATAAAGTTTATAGCAGGGAAAAAGTCAAGGGAACAAGCAATTATAATAAGAATGTATAGGGATTTATTAGAGGCAAAAGACATAGAAAGGTGGATGGAATTGCATGTGTAAAGAGTAATGTGTATAGAGATGGTGGGGAACAAATACGGCATTTGGACGGGGTCATGGGGGACATGAGTTGTGTTGAGAGCAAACGAGTAGAGGCCAGGTGGGGTGCAACACCTACCATCTGTGGATCCAGCTGGGGCCCCACACAGGTTTTATTATATGCCATGGACAACTAAAGCAATGCAGCAAATGCAGCAGAGAGGGGCACCTGTATGCATACTGTCGCTCATGGTGTGCTAACACACGTGAAGGGAAGGGGCATAGAGCTGCAGAGTTCCAGGAGTCCTTAAAATGCACTAGCTATGGTGGGGAGGGACACCTATTGCACAAGTGTCCCAAAGCTTATGCAAGCAAAGTCAGACCCCCTGAGGAACAGCATGAATCAGAAAGGGACAGTGGTGGAGAAAAAGAGGTTGAGAGTGAAGTAGAAATAGGAGGGGAGGAAACAAGGGAGGAAAGGAGAAAGAGAGGAGTGTAATATCTTTAGCTGAGGTGGCTCAAGAAAAAACAGAAGAAGGGGATGGTGAGTGGAAGAGAGCCCAGACATGAAGGTGAGGAAGCTGAAGAAAAAAGAAATCCAACAAGCAGAAGAAACAGAGGTGGAACAAGTAAAAGACCCTGGGAGTCACGGAAGGAAAAAAATAAAGGGGTAGAAAATCAGAAATAAGAAACCAGAAAGCAAGGGGATCAAGTCAGAGCCATTAAGCAGCTTCCCACCATTAAACCCACTGGGCTCCAGTGTGGAGTGGAGAGCTGCAGGAGGGAAGCAGTGGGGAGGTGGGAAACTGGACCCCTTCCTGAAGGCAAAGGCAGTCAGGCAGCTTGCAAAAGCAACAGGCATGAGAGTGAGGGAGAGGCAGAGGGAGGAGTCAACCACAGAGAGCAGCAGTACCAGCAAACCTTTAAGGGACACAAGCACTCCTTAACACAAGCACAGCGGCACTGATTATAGCATCTATTAATGTCAGGAGCGTACTAACAAGGAAAAGATGGGAACAGATCAAACCAATGTTAAGACAAGTAAGGGCAGACATAATCTACCTACAAGAATGTGGGATACCGGAGGAAAGGGATTATAAACACTTTGAGAAAAGGTGGAGATGGGGACAATCCTGGTGATCAGGGACAAATGAAAACAAAGCAGTTGCAGTGGCAGTAATATTCAAGAATCCAGAGATGAAAGCAAAGTAGGTGGAAGATATCACCAGTGGCAGATTGCAGCAAATGGTAGTATCAGCTGGGGGAGTGGAATTAGAAGTTTTCAACACATATGCACCACCAGAGCAGGAGGGGGCCGAAGGCTCTGCTTAGAAAGCTAGCAGTTTACATGCTCAAGGGAGACTAAAGATAATAGAGGGGGGCTTCAATTGCATAATAGAAGTGGGTGACAGAACAAGGGAGGGAGGAGACGGAACTTTAGACAGCTCATCCACATTGTTAGCAAATATCATTTAAAAAAAAGAATCACTAAGATGTGTGGGCAGAGGAGAAAGTTTTCATTAGAACTGACCCCAGTGAACACAAACAATCAAGAACTGACTTTGTATTTCTATCAAAAGAAAGAGAGATTAGGAAGAAAAAAAACATAATTGTAACTAGGGGTACACCGATAAGAGATTTTTAGGGCCAATACCGATGGCCAATTTTTAAACGAGCCAAATCGGCTGATAACGATCCATTTGCTAATATGCAGCCCGGCAGCTGGGCAAGCAGTATCGGGCTAGTAGTCTGTTGTGGGGAAAGGGGTCGTCACAACCCAAAGGGTGTGATTTTTGGTTTTCTGTGCTTCGGCACTGCTAAATTGTTCCCGCTAAATTATAGCTTCTTTGCACGGTGGAGTTTTCTGCTGCAAAAGAGAACCCCGGTGCAAGGGAGAATTTCCTGCCAATTTGAAGCTTTCTTTGCAG